TTTTTTGAGTTGGAGTCTCACTCTTGTCGCCCAGGCTGGAGTGCTGTGACACACTCCCCGCCACTGCAGCCTCGTCTTGCTGGGCTCTGGCGATCCTTCCGCCTCAGCCTTCCAAGTAGCTGGAACTACAGGAGCGCGCTACCACGCCCGGCTGATGTTTTTTTGTTTTTTTTTTTCTGATTTATTGTAGAGATGAAATCTCGCCTGCCCAGGCGGGTCTCGAACCCGCAGGCTCGGGCAATCCACTCACCTCAGCCTCCCAAAGGCGTGGGATGACAGGCTGAGCCACCGAGCCCGGCTTACCCACAAATCTTAATGTCACAGGATGGGGCGGGGAGTACAGACTGAGCTCTTTCCAGGCCCAAGGAGGGGACCATGTAGAAGGAGAATTACAGTATGGTGAGACCTCATCTCTACAATATATCAAAAAATTAGCTGGGCATGGTGGCGCGTGCCTGTTAGTTGCAGCTACTCGGAAGGCTGAGGCGAAAGGATCGCCTGAGCCCAGCAGGTCGAGGCTGCAGTGGCCGGGAGAGGCCACTGCACTCCAGCCTGGGTGACAGAGTGAGACTCCGACTCAAGAAAAAAAATAAAAACCAAAAAAATAACAAATAAAAAGAATGACAAGTGTTCCTTGACACACCCTCTCCCATATACCCACTTCCTGTGAGACTGAAGAGTTCATTTAATTTCTGGCAACCTTCGGAAGATGTTATCTTTCTTTCTCAAGTTTGTCCCCAAATCCATCCTGTTCATATTCACTTGAAACTGGAACATGGGTCTTGACTGAACGAAACAAGACCTTTAGCCCACTGCCCTGAGGGAGCTCACCTTGCCTTCTTGTGCGGGCGTTGGTTACCGCAAGGTGACAGTGATTCTGGCACAAGCCTCAGTTCTGTGTGAAGCCCTTGATGTCCTGCTCGAATTCCACGCCCATGTGCCCTGACAGTGCAGCAAGAGGCCTTTGCCGAACCACAGAGTACAGTGACCATGGATATTCCTTTATTTATGCTCACTTTATTTCAAAAGCATTGTGGAAATACGGAATCTCTTGGTGATCAGGGGCTTGTTTTTCCACTTTTCTGTGAGTCTGGAAATACAAAGTTAGGGGGGAAAGTGTGAATGCACTTCTTTTTTTTTTTGGAGTTGGAGTCTCACTGTGTCACCCAGGATGGAGTGTGGGGTAGTGGCATGCTCACAGCCACCTTAGCCTTGACCTGCTGGGCTCGGGTGATCCTTCTATCTCAGCCTTCCAAGTAGCTGGAACTATAGGCATGCACCACCATGCCCGGCTAATTTTTGATTTATTGTAGAGACAAGCTCTCGCCACGTTGCACTGGCTGGTCTCGAACCCGTGGGCTCAGGCAATCGACTCGCCTCAGCCTTCCAAAGTGCTGGGATTATAGACTGAGCCACTGAGCTCCGCCCATGTTTGGTTTTATCAGTACACTAAAATTAGATTAGTGCCAAAGAGCTTCTGTGTGATTAGTCAGAGTTCAGATTATTATTTTTTATTTTTTTTTATTTTTTGAGTCGGAGTCTCACTCTGTTGCCCAGGCTGGAGTGCACTGACACACTCACGGTCACCACGGTCTTGACCTGCTGGGCTCAGGTGATCCTTCTGCCTCAACCTTCCAAGTAGCTGGAACTACAGGCATGCACCACCATGCCCGGCTAATTTTTTTAAATTTATTGTAGAGATGAGGTCTCACAAATTTGCCCAGGCTGGTCTTGAACCCATGGGCTCAGGCACTCCTCTCACTTCAGCTTCCCAAAGTGCTGGGATTATAGGCGTGAGCCACCACGCCCAGGGAGTTCAGATTATTTGATGTAAAAAGATTAAAATAAGGCCAGGCATGGTGACTCATGCCTATAATCCCAGCACTTTGGGAGGCCGAGGCGAGAGAATTACCTGAGCCCGTGGGTTCAAGACCAGCCTGGGCAACTTGGCAAGACGTCATCTCTACAATAAATCAAAGGAATAGCTAGGTGTGGTGGTGCTCACCTGTAGTTCCAGCTACGTGAAAGACTGAGGTGGAAGGATCGCCTAAGCCCAGTTGGTCGAGGCTACAGTGGCCGTCAGCGTGCCACTGCACTCCAGCCTGGGTGACAGAGTGAGACTCTGACTCAAAAAACAAAAGAAAACAAAAAAAACCAGATGAATCAGTTTTAAAGTGCAAAATCTAATACATAGCTGTTTTAATAAATTAGTGCAGCTCACACCTGTAATCCCAGCACTTTGTGAGGCCAAGGCAGAAGGATTCTTTAAGTTCAGGGGTTCAAGACCAGTCTGGGCAACATAGGGAGACCCTGTTCCTACACAGAATAGAAAAATTACTAGAGTGTGGTGTGGCGCACCTGTAGTTCCAGCTACTTGGAAGGCTGAGGCGGAAGGATCACCTGAGCCCAGGAAGTCAAGGCTGCAATAAGACGTGATCACACCACTGCCTGGGTGACAGAGTGAGACCCGGCTCAAAATTAAATATTTAATTAATTAATGTTCTATGAAAGATTTTAGAATATTCACATGTGTGCATACCAGCTCAAACTGAAGATCTTGAAACAACTACCAAGAGCCATCTTTTGCTTCCTCCGAAGATATTTCTTTCTTTTTTTTTTTTTGAGTTGGAGTCTCACTCTGTCGCCCAGACTGGAGTG